CGATGTGAGCATACCTTGTGTTTGGATAGGATTGAAGACTGATATATTTTTTTGCATGAAAACTGACTGGAATGTCTTGTTGTTCAGCGCCGAAAGTGGCAGAGGTTGCAAATCGAGTAACTCCGTTGGTGGCGGATATTTCTCCGGTAAAATTAAGTGCCGAAATGATATTGGTAGAATTGTTTCACTGCCCAGCCAACGATCAGATACTGAAAAAGCAGAATTTTCGTGCAAAAGTAACAAAAAACAAATTTTTTCATAACGAAAACCAGCAGAGGTTTGCTGCGCCCAGCTTTTCCAGCCCACCCCTTGTTGCATACCAGACAGTTTATTCACAAATCACGTTTGACGAAAGAATGGTTCACTTTCAAAGACCTGTGTGGGAAAGTATATAATAAGCACTTGGAACACAGAGGAAAGTACATAATAAATACAACGCGCACCAGACTAGCCGGTGCGATCATGCGTTTTGTGCAATTCAGCCCATCGAACGATTGTCCATTAATGATTGCCACTGCTTTGTACTTTAATCTATGCAAAAATAGCTCAAATATTGGAAAACAGTTAAAAATTTCAAGCACCAGAGCATGAAAGTTGAATTCGAAACCTAGAAGGGTGAATATGTTTATTCCGAGTTAATAGTTTACCCGCTAAAATTTTCACGAGGCCGTATGTGGTACCCAGGGGCGCGAGAATGCTAATTTGAATGGGCAAGGTTGAGTGTGGGCAGAGGGTCATTACCCTAAAATTTCAGCTTCCTAGACTCCGTGGTTCCCGAGATATTAATTTACCCGTAAAAAACTTTCACGGGGCTGTGCGTGTTACCCGCGGGTACGGGAAAGCTGAATTTAAATTTGCGGGATCACATGTGGGTGGGGAACGCCCCCTTAAATTTTTCAGCTTTCCAGCTTCTGTGGTTCTCGAGTCGCAGACAAGTTTCTGCGGACACACACACACACAAACACAAACACACACGCAGACAACCCCGTAACAATATGATTTTTGTACTGCTGTTACACAGCACAGAACGCATAAAAATGCACTTTAGGTTGCTGTGGACCCAAACATCCCCTTCTGCTTACTATTTAAGTAGGCGAAAGTCAGGAAGGAAAATGGCAGCCATTCCAGGACCCACGATTTTTCCTTGAATCCCAAACACGGAACCGTTCAAAATAACGTGAATTTTTTTAGGTATCTTAACTGAACTGCATCCAAAAAATATTCGATTAAGCATAAATTTCTCTACGGCACATGCTAACCAAAATAACTGAGTTTGCAGCAAAAAGCTAAAAGCTAAAGTTTACCAATTCGTATGAAATAGAGTGGGGGAAGAGGATCGAATACGGGCACGAACATTTTCACCAGATGCTCATCCTCACAAAATTTCTGTTTTAAGAGGAAATATTCGTGATGCAAAATCAGCTCCCCATCGACATCTTCCACAAAAATCCAAAATCCTTCGGCTGTACCTGAAAACAAAAAAATAGTCATTTCC